GCCTCTTAAAAATGTATTTGCTATGAATAAGTCATTGATTGTGCAAAATTCGATCATTCTCTCTCCAGCTCCATTTCTGTCACCGAGTCCATGTTTTCCGACTACTGAATCTTCCTCTTTGTTCCCGACTTTTGCATTCCAGTCACTCATTATTATCAATGCATCTTGGATGGTCATGGTACTAGGGATATTATAACGAATGTCAGATGGATCTCGGCAGAAAGCAGAGAATACCAGAAGAATGTCTATCTGTGCTTCATCGACTATGCAAAGGCTTTTGACTGTGTGGATCACAACAAGCTATGGCTGACTCTGAGAAGAATGGGATTCCCAGAACATTTGATTGTGCTAATGTGGAATCTGTACTTGGACAAAGAGGCAGTCATCAGAACAGAGCAGGGAGTCACTGGATGGTTCAAAATCAAGAAAGGTGATGTATTTTGTCTCCAAACCTTCTCAATCTGTATGCAGAACAGATCATCCAAGATGCTGGGCTGTACGAGGAGGAATGTGGCATCAGGACTGATGGAAGAATCATCAACAACCTGCGTTATGCAAATGTCACAACCCTGCTCACTGAAACTGAGGAGGACCTGAAGCGCTTGCTGCAGAAGGTCAAGGACTGCAGTCTTCAATATGGATTGAAGCTCAATATCAAGAAAACAGATTCTCACCACTTGGTCAACTGGCAGCATCAGTATGGATGGTGAAGAGATTGAGATAGTTGACAGTTTTCATTTACTTGGCTCCACAGTCAACACTCTTGGTAACAGCAGCCCCGAAATCAGGAGATGAATTGCATTGGGAAAGTCAGCTGTGCGGGACCTCTTAAGAGTGCTAAAGAGCAAGGACATCTGGCTGGAGACTAAGGTGCGCCTGATCCAGGCTATCATCTTTGCAATTATGAGCTGTGCATTGGAGAGTTGGACAGTGAATAGGGCTGATAGAAAGAGGATTGACGCCTTTGAGTTGTGGAGCTGGAGAAGAGTGTTGACTATACCATGGACTGCCAGGAGAACAAACAGGTTTGTCCTGGATAGGGTAATGCCAGAATGTTCCCTGGAGTCAAGGATTCTGAACCTTTGTCTGACATACTTTGGGCATGTTGCAAGGAGGGACTGGTCCTTGGAGAGGGACATCATCTTTGGGAGAGTGGAGGGACAGTGCAGAAGAGGAAGACGCTCGATGAGATGGATTGATTTGGGGAATGAATGTGTTTGAGACTGTGAGGTTGGCACAAGATAGAACAACATTTAGGGCTCTTGTACATACGGTCACTAGGAGTCGCAAATGACTCAATGGCACATAACAACAACATCATCAATCTTAGATAATTATCTATCTAACTGTCATCTTTCTGTATCTATATATCTATCAAATATCAACAAGTCACTCAAGGAGCTGAACTCTGAAGAAAAATATGGCATCAGGATTAGAGGAAGATCATCAACAACCTTGGTTATGCATAGGACATAACCTTGCTTGCTGAAAGGAAGGATGACTTGAAGTACTTGCTGCAGAAGATCAAGGACTACATCCTTCCATATGAATTTCACCTCAATGTCAAGTAAATAAAAATCTTTACAACTGTTAGTAAAAAAAAAAAATCTTTACAACTGAACAAATACCATCTCTACCAAGACAGATGGAGAAAAGATTGAAATTGTAAAACACTTTTTTCTCGCTTGAATCCACAATCAACACCCTTGATACCAGCAGTCAGGAGATAAGGAGTATTATATTGAGCAAGACCGCTGTCACGGACCTCTCCAAATTACTGAGGAGCAAAGATGCCAGTTTGAAGACTAAGGTGCATCTAATTCATGCCATGGTCTTTTCAGTCCCTTGCTATTAAGTAACTCTTAAGTCACTCTTTACAGTGACTTGCTTCAAGTCACTTCTGTCACTTGAAAATGGGACAATGAAT